TCCTCCCCAGTCCCTTTCCCTTTGGTAACTGTTATTCCATTCTTGGGTTCTGTGAGTCTGCTGCTGTTTTGTTCCTTCAGTTTTTTCTTTGTTGTTATACTCCACAGATGAGTGAAACCATTTGATACTTGTCTTTCTCTGTCCAGCTTATTTCACTGAGCATAATACCCTCTAGCTTCATCCATGTTGTGGCAAATGGTAGGATTTGTTTTCTTCTTATGGCTGAATAATATTCCATTGTGTATATGTACCACATCTTCTTTATCCATTCATCTACTGATGGACACTTAGGTTGCTTCCATATCTTGGCTATTGTAAATAGTGCTGCGATAAACATAGAGGTGCATATATCTCTTTGAATCTGAGAACTTGTTTCCTTTGGGTAAATTCCTAGGAGTGGAATTCTCAGGTCAAATGTATTTCTATTTTTAGTTTTTTGAGGAACCTCCATATTGCTTTCCACAATGGTTGAACTAATTTACATTCCCACCAGCGGTGTAGGAGGGTTCCCCTTTCTCTGCATCCTCACCAGCATTTGTTGTTCCTTGTCTTTTGGATGTTGGCATCCTAACTGGTGTGAAGTGTTATCTCATTGTGGTTTTAATTTGCATTTCCCTGATGATTAGTGATGTGGAACATCTTTTCATGTGCCTGTTGGCCATCTGAATTTCTTCTTTGGAGAAGTGTCTGTTCAGATCTTCTGCCCATTTTCTAATCGGGTTATTTGCTTTTGGGTGTTGAGGCATGTGAGCTCTTTATATATATTTTGGATATTAACCCCTTATCAGATAAGTCATTAATGAATATATTCTCCCATACTGTAGGATGCTTTTGGTTCTGCTGATGGTGTCCTTTGCTGTACAGAAGGTTTTTAGTTTGATGTAGTCCCGTTTGTTCATTTTTGCTTTTGTTTCCCTTGCCTGGGGAGATACGTTCAGGAAAAAGTTGCTCTTATTTATATTCAAGAGAGTTTTACCTATGTTGCCTTCTAAGAGTTTTATGGTTTCTTGGCTTAGATTCAGGTATTTGATCCATTTCAAGTTTACTTTTGTGTATGGAGTTAAACAATAATCCAGTTTCATTCTCTTGCATGTAGCTGTCCAGTTTTGCCAACATCAGCTGTTGAAGAGGCTCTCATTTCCCTATTGTATGTCCATGGCTCCTTTATCACATTATATTGGGTATATATGTGTGGGTTTATATCTGGGCTCTCTATTCTGTTACATTGGTCTATGGGTCTGTTCTTGTGCCAGTGCCAAATTGTTTTGATTACTGTGGCTTTGTAACAGAGCTTGAAGTTAAGGAGTGTAATTCCTGCAGCTTTCTTCTTCCTTCTCTGGATTGCTTTGGCTATCCAGGGTCTTTTGTGGTTCCATATGAATTTTAGAACTATTTGTTCTAGTTCATTAAAGAGTGCCTTTGGTATTTGATAGGGATTGCATTGAATCTGTAGATTGCTTTAAGCAGGATCACTATTTTGACAATATTAATTCTTCCTGTCCATGAGCATGGATGTTATTTCCATTTATTGATGTCTTCTTTAATTTCTCTTATGAGTGTCTTGTCGTTTTCGGGGTATAGGTCTTTCACCTCCTTGGTTAAGTTTATTCCTAGGTATTTTCTTCTTTTTGATGCAATTGTGAACGGAATTGTTTTCCTGATTTCTCTTTCTGCTAGTTTATTGTTAGTATATGCAACAGATTTCTATGTATTAATTTTTATACCACATTTTTTTAAACTGTATTGAAAAATATTTAGATAAGTAATTACTTTTTTAAAGAAGTTTCCTTCAAGTGAGAAAAGCTTACTATGAGCAATTCTATTTTGATTGTCTTATGCATTTAATTATCTTAAATTATCATACTTGCCTTACTCCTAACAGCTTGACAACTTTTTGTGCATGATGCTATTCACATGCTCTAAGCAGATCAGAGGATTTCAGACCACGTTTTTTTCCCTATTTATTCTTCCATTCCAAAATAAAATATAAAAAGGATCTGAATGTCCTAATGGAGAAGAACCAATTTAGTGTATTTCAACAGGTCACTTTGTAGCCTCCAAGAAAATGTCCCTGCACTATCATTTATTTAGCAGATTGCTTTTACAAAAAACATTTTTTCTTCTAATGACCCAAGGGGAAGTCATTAGCAAATT